GTTTATTGTCAAATATTAGATAAAATTACGTATTATTCTAACATCATATTTAATTTTGTCTTTAATTTAATTGTATTATATTAGACTGTATTATTTTATTTAATCTATTTAATTTTAATACGGCAACCAAACAAGTCCATTTGATCTTCAGCTAGAGCCAAACAAATAAGACGAATGTCTTCGTAAATGGTGATGTTTTTAAAGAAGCAGAAGCAGCCGGGGGGAATCGACGGTGGCACAAGTCATCTGTTGCATGTGATGTGAGGCGTAAAATATGATGTCCCATTACGCAAAGGTTGTTGACAAATGAAGCCATTTGCCGCGTGAAAAACAGTTAAACGTAAGGAGCATCGTTCACATGGTTTAGGTACGTACGTACGTACTTAGGTAGCTCAGATTACTTATTTCTTACGAAATGTTGTAAGAGGCTTCTTCACATGTGAAGATGACCAATATTGATGCCAAACATTTAGGCCTGTTTGGTTTGTTTTTTGAGTGGATTTTGGATTGAATTGTTTAAATTTGAGTTTGATTCAAAGTTGAGATTTAAAGATGAGATTCAATATTTAATATTGTCTATATCTATATTTGATATGTGCAAGAATATATGACTATAATAATAATATATTTATATATGAATAATTATTGTGCCNAGATTTAAAGATGAGATTCAATATTTAATATTGTCTATATCTATATTTGATATGTGTAAGAATATATGACTATAATAATAATATATTTATATATAAATAATTATTGTGTCCCATAATCAATTTGTATATATGAAGTATATATGATATATAAGGATATAAATGTTATTTGCATGTTAAACCCTTAAACCCACAAATAAAACCCACCCTCCTTGGGTTTCATGAAACCCAAGTATGTGGGTTTCATGACCGGGACATGACTGGGCCGAGTTTGAAATCCTTTCCGTTCTTCATAGTTGTCAAACATGGGTTTAAGGGGATTTACTCCCCAACCCATGTTTCCAAACTCTCCCCCCCTAAACCCACATACCAAACAACCCCTTAGTATATTAGCTAATGCTCGTGTCTGAAGGCACGACGTAATAAAAAAAGTCGACCTAATAATACAAATATTCCGTTTAGGAGGCCCAATAAGTTTTTTGACCTAATAAATTCAAAACATTTCAACATAATTTTCTCTAAAAATAAGATCTTATGAAAACGGAAATCTATATTAACAATTTATATACTTTCTTATCGCACCCTAAAAGTTTCTATAAAAAAGTAAATCCTAAAAAAACCCTCATCTTAGTGAGGTGAAATTTTATTAATAAAAATACTTCCAAAGAAACCGGGGGAAGTACAACCTTACCCCTTACAATAGGGTTACAAATAGGAGATTTGCTCAAAACCAATTACAAAGAAAAATATAAAAAAAAAAGAAAGTGGAAAAAATACCTTGTCATCTAAAATTACACTGAGCATGCCTTCCCTATGCCCAAAAAATCGCTACCATTTAACACCTCCGCCTCCACCTCCACCTCATTTCTTTTTCTGTTTAAATAATCATGGTAGGATATCTATAAGTCTTCCGCCACCATACTTATCACCACCTTCACATACATGGTTTGTCTACACTGTCAAGAAGACATCCAAAAATGGTGGCCCTTGTGCTCACCACCATTTCGTTCGGAATACTACTTGAAAAGTCGTCAAAACAATGTCGAACCTTATTATTATAATGACATCAATCCACATTGCCGAAAATACCATTCAAAATGCTTCATATTTATAACTCATATGCCAGTGAAGGGATCGGAAGACTTGACAATCCTTGAATACATTGAAAAACCAACCCGAGTCATTAGTAGATAATTTGCTAGAAGATTGTACATAACCCAAGGAAAAAAATCAAGAAAATATGTGCAGTGCCAATGACTAATTATAGAAGATGTGGAATTCAATGCAATAGGTGAAATAGGGAAAGCAAGACCCACCTATAAACCAATAGAAACCACACAAAGGATACCAAGTGCTTAGTTATAACACCTTACTGCAGTAGTAACATAGCCAAGGATGTCAATTGCCGGTAAACCTTGAACAACTCCACTACAAAGTAAAACTATCGTACACCACTATCTTATCTTCAGTCCTGTTAGACCTACAAAAACCTAGAAGCCCTAATTTATCTTAGAACAACATTAATTAGAGACTATACAATTAATGACGCCCACACCCACACCCACACCCACAAAAACAATATTATTCGAGGTGGCAAACGCATAAAACTACATCTTTTAACGCACAATTCATCACACTCGAGATTTATGTTTGTGATAATTAATGATGGTCAAACAACAATATATGTGTCTTTATTACTTTATACCTCTCGAGAAACAAATCAATGGTGTACTTGAAAGCCTTGAGATCATAAAGCAGCGGCATATTTATGAGAAGGCAAAAATTAGTTAAATAGTAAATTACTTTTCATTGTCAATGAAGTTGCTGTAAGTGAGATTATGTCTATCATTCCAAATTTCGGATTTAAGAATGCATGTTAAACCTGCAAATAAATCAAAAGGAGTACATGTAGACATTAATGAAGTTTTTCATTAAAAAAAGATAGAAATGAATGCAAAATATGTGAAACCACCTTATTTAGCCACATCAACCTAATACAATGAAATATGTGCAGTGCCAATGCCTAATTATAGAAGATGTGGATTTCAAAATGGGGAACACAAGACTATTTAAGCAAAGTCAATGAGCAAGAAAACACACTAAAACTAGAGAAAAAGTACAATCGATTTTGCGAAACAATCAAATATTAACCAATCTAGTATGCATCACTTACAATCATGAAGCCAAAGAAATATAGTGGCCAGTCATAACTTACGGAGCATTTCAAAAAGTACCAAATCTGGTGAAAAAATTACATCGGTGGTGGATGAAGGCGGGTCCATGGTTGGTTGGTGTTGGGCTAGTGGGAGCTTGTAGAAATGGAAGATCGTGGAGAGAGACACGGATTACCTGGAGAACAGGAGAAGAGAGCAACAGTTTAAGGGTTCTTGACTTTGATTTTGGGAAGCCATTAGGGCATAAATTGGGTGGATTTTTTCGGAGATTTGCAGCAAGTTTGGAAAGTCAATTTTAGGGGATCTTGAGTATGATTTTGGGAAGCCTTTAGGGCATGAGTTGGGTGGGAAATAAGGGAATGAAATTTTGAGGAGAGAGAGAGAGAGATGGGGAAGGGGGATAGAGACAATAGCGTGAATTGCGGTGCGAGTGAATTTAGCGTGAGTGACAGAGGTGTGTCTGTGTGCGTGAATTGAGCGTGAGAGAGATACAGAGAGAATGAGAGAGAGAGAGAGGGAGAGAGTCCAAAATCAGGATTTGCTTGAATTTAAGAAAAGATTCGAGAGAATTAAACTTTAGGGATATTAATTTTGAAAATTAAAAATTTTGAATGGCAAAAAGGCTTTAAGAGTTATTCTAGTATGTCGGATCGAAACGATCTGAGACGTTAATAGCTTGAGACAGTTTAAGATAACTTCTTCTGTTGGATAATGTTTTTTTTAGTTATAAAACGATCTAAACCACTCTTTATCTTCAAAATTCAAAATCGTTTTACTGTATTATATAGTAGATATATGTTATTAACTCACCAAAGGTGATATCCAATTCAATGTTCCCCACGATAACAGGATTTAGTAGAGAGAAAATTGTAAACAATCTTATTGTTAGCACGAAAACTTCAATGATTAAATAGATGAACACTTGTTATCCCTTTAGATCTAATTCTTTTGTATTTTTTTGCCCGTGTAAAGATAAATGTGATAGTAGAGGACGTACTTTGTCTGCAATTTTGCAGTCATATATGTATATCTTCGTTCATCTCTATTCTCCCGGACATTTGCAACGGCCTCCCACACCTTTTTCTAGTTAAAATTTGGTACAAACGGAAGAAATTAAAGACTGATCCATTCGCTGATTTTCATGATCGTCCTCACTAAACCAACTTGAATTTGAACTAGGATCTCTCTCTCTCTCATGCACAAAAGCATCCTTGTTTTTACTTTGGCAAATGACTTGTTTATTCTTGTTATGAATTTAGCCCAACTATACAAAACATTTCTAGCCCGTTAACCTAGACTCTCAATTAAGAAGCCTTCAGTTAAAGAATCAACTGAAGGGGGTGTGGTGTGGGGTGTTTTTTTTTTGGGGGGTGGGGGGAGTGGGCTTCTACTTGTGATACTTAAATATGGGGAGAAAAAATAATAATTTGAGTTGCTCTTGACAAAAAAATGTGTAATATGAGTAGTTTTTGATCAAAATTTAGATAGCTCGTGATCAAAATTGTGTAATTTTGGTAACTCTTTGACTAAAATTTAGATAAACATTTGGTCAAGAGTTATCTAAATTATTTTTTTTCTCATATTTACGTATCATGTGATAAGTTTATAATAAAAAATTGTTAAGAATTTTGACGTTGTTTGCTAGAGGGACCACGTAAAAATATATTCAAAACTTCAGGGACTAAAATGATGCAACTGAAATATTAGGGACTAAAATGAGACAAATTCTATACTTTTGGGACCTCTTGTGTAATTAACCCAAATGATAAAATAGGCTGATCCGAACTCAGTCCAAGCTTACACTATCACTTTAAGTTAAAGTGGAACTTGAGGCCTCAAGCCCATTACAGCTTTAGCTGAGATTTTATATTTATTTTTCCAGTTCAGGCACTATGAGAATGGAGGGCACACAACGAGGTTCAAATTGCGGTACAACTTCAGGGACGGTGATCATTAAGCAAACAGTCAATGTTAGGTTTTTCTGAGTTTAATCAGAACCTTTCGTAACTTTTGGAACCCAGTTGAGTTTAATGGACTAAAACTCTCCCATATCTGGGACAGTAAATCAGGTTGGATAAGCCCTAAGCCCATCCTCCCCGCCCCGAAATCAAACCTAAATTGAAATTCGATTTGAGGTCCGACTAGATTTGGACCCGCCCGTTTATGGTAGTTGCAAATGGTGGAAGTTCGAATTCAATGCAAAACTCATGGCAATCACGGGTCTCCAAACATGATTGAAATTAGGTGAGTCAGTAATATCGTTAACACAACATGAACACTACACGAAATTATAGTGTTTTAGACTTTTGCTTAAGTTACTTATTTCATAAATGAATAGAAATGATATGATCCGATTAATAAAAAATTTGAGTATGAATGAAATCAATTAAACTAAATATACAATACGATTCATTTATATATCTATTATATTCAATTCACATGTGATAAAAACCCGACATAATACTATTTGTTATACACGAATTAAAAAGCGAATCGAATATAAGTGGAATACTTTCAGCATGACTATCGAGTGCTTTAGGTGAATTATGATGGAATTATTTGGGTTACCATGTTACTCATTTGGGATTAATCTTATAAAACAATGGGTACTCACTCTTTTCAGATGATCTATTGAGGCCTAAGAATGCTGTAGTTTTGGTGGAAAGAATTCAAATATTACTGAACAAATATGACTAAATTAGCCAAAACTACGAGCAGTTTAGTATCATTAACAACTAAGAATTACGCAGATTATAAAACACTGATTCTATAGATTATCTATACATCAATGCACAAATATCAACTCAATATTCATAACATTTAAAGCTGCATTTCATACTCTCTGGCCTATGCAATCTATACAGCATCACCTCCTCAAACTTAATGTATGTGCGTGGTGCCGGTTTGCATAGTTCACATTGCAGCCCATATGGTCCTGATATTTCCCCAAGCGTGGACCCTCAACCATTTCTTCCAGTCCTACCTCCTTCACCACTGATGCCACTCACAAATTATAGTGTGCCAAAATTATCAGGTAATATGTACATGCCCTTATTACAGAGAAAATAAATTGTTTTTAAGTTATTGACTAGTGCGGTTTCATGGTCATGTTCTGAAGCTGTCCAATGGAGAAGTAAGGATAAATGTTAGAACCTATCAGATATAAGGAAATGCCCAGATTTGGATGAGGTTCTCCTTCAGCCACACAGTTAGAAAGCTTCAAATTAGTATGTGCCTAATGTGTAAACTGGAACAAAAAAATGTCTTCATATAATGCTGCATGTGCTTTTTCAATCTATAAGCCTCATTTGGTCCTAAATCTAATATATTGCTCTATGAGTTTGCATACTAATATGCAGTAGCAAAGCTTAATGTAAAATTGTTATATTACTTTTGTCTATTAGTTTGCTAAACAGCTAATCCTAAACGGGGTGCCAATTCGTGCTCTAATATAATGTCAATGAATGGAAATTACTTTCCAAGGAAGGGAAAAATTGACGTTGAACAGTCGTGTCTTTCAAAGTTTCCTGATTTTAGAGAATTAACTAAAAGTGATGGTAACCTCACATTACTTGATGGTACTTTTGCTCTTTCAGGACTCTGTCCATTGAATTTTTCAGCAGCTGAAAGTATATTGAGCATAACAGCAACTGATTGCTGGGCTTTGCTTGCTCCATATATGGCCAATGTGGTATGCTGCCCTCAGTTTGATGCCACTCTAGTGATTCTTATAGGTCATTCCAGTATTTACTCTCAGCCGCTTGCTTTGAACTTGACTGATGCCAAGCACTGCCTCTCAGATGTTGAACAGGTCTTGGAGGGTCAAGGTGCCAGTGAGAATCTTCACGAGATATGCTCTATGTATCCATCAAACCTCACTGAGGCTTCTTGCCCGATTGTAGATGTTAAGGAGATGGACAGCACTGTGGATTCCTCTAGACTTCTGGCTGCTTGCGAAAAAATTGATTTCGTCGATGAGTGTTGCAACCAAGTTTGTCAAAACCCCATATCAGACGCCGCTGAAAAAATTGCTTTGAAGAATTATAGTATGGCGAGTTCAAACGGAGATCGTGTCTTGGCTGAGAACTCAATTATGATTAATGATTGTAAGAGTATTGTCCTACGATGGCTTGNCCCATATCTGGGACAGTAAATCAGGTTGGATAAGCCCTAAGCCCATCCTCCCCGCCCCGAAATCAAACCTAAATTGAAATTCGATTTGAGGTCCGGCTAGATTTGGACCCGCCCGTTTATGGTAGTTTGCAAATGGTGGAAGTTCGAATTCAATGCAAAACTCATGGCAATCACGGGTCTCCAAACATGATTGAAATTAGGTGTGTCTGTAATATCGTTAACACAACATGAACACTACACGAAATTATAGTGTTTTAGGCTTTTGCTTAAGTTACTTATTTCATAAATGAATAAAAATAATATGATCCGATTAATAAAAAATTTGAGTGTGAATGAAATCAATTAAACTAAATATACAATACGATTCATTTATATACCTATTATATTCAATTCACATGTGATAAAAATCCGACATAACACTATTTGTTATACACGAATTAAAAAGCGAATCGAACANTGTTTTGCTTCCTATTTTTTATTCTCTTCCAGAATGTCCACTGGTCTTTCATGAGAACAAAAATGTTTCAAGAGAATGTGGCGGTGTGATAGCTAACCAGACAAGTTGCTGTGATGTCCTGAAGAGTTATGTGTCTCAAATTTTTTTTTTACGATCAATAGAAATAGGACAATAATTTATATTTATTTACATCCTATTTAATACTTAAAAGTTCATTAAATCCAACATATCAAAATTTGGTAAGCTTAGTATATACAAACGACACCAATTTTTTTTTTTTACAAAATGTAGGCTAATTAAAATTATTTAGAATTGACTCCGGTCAATTTTCATACTTTGAAACCGTTGCTTAATAATTTTATTATTTTTTATATACACTATCATTTTATCACTTTGGCCTTTATATACATAACATGTCCAAAATGTGTTGATGATGTTTGTCAAGTGGGCAAAAAACGTTACTTTTTAATGGTGGGTCAAAAATTTTATTTTTTTAATAGGTTTGGGTGAGTTGTGATAAGTCAAAAATTTAATTTTTTAATAAGTTTTGGTAGATAGTAGTGGGCGCAAATTTTTTTATTTTAAATGGGCTTAATTTTTTAATTCTTTTGAGTAAATAATGTGGACCTAATATTTTTATCTTAGATTTTGGGTAATGTGGGCCTAATATTTTATCTTAAATTTTGGGTCTCCGCCCTTGAGTTGCAGGAAGCTAATGTCTCCAGCAATGTTTATAATCTTTGTGATATTCACCTCCAAGATTTTTCTCTCCAACATAAATATCATTGGAGCTTTTATAATGGATTTCTATAAATTTGTATGTGAAATAATGGATTTCTGTAAATTTGTCTATGAAACGTGGAAAAATAGGAAATATTAACATTTAAAATGAAGAATTTCAACATGGGTTGCTGCTGCCTCAAAATTTAACATGTTAATGCACTGCAGGCCTCAATGTCCAAGAGATGACTCTCCTCTCTCTACTCTTTGCCNTTTGGTTGAGCCTTATGCTTTCCTGTGCGTCATGACACCATCTAGGTAAGACCAGGTCATGATGGCTAATCTAGCCTAGCCCAGACTGATGACCTGTCTATTAATAGCCCTGCAGGAATAGGAACGCCGACGTAGTGGGTACACATCGGTGCCGAGGGCCTAGTACAGTCAGGGTCGATGTACCCACCCCCCAATCGACCAAGGAATACATGTCGTCCGTGCATACCGACGTCGTAGATCCTTATGCATAGTACCATCTCGGGGGAAAAGGGATCATGATCCGACAAGCACGTGTCGTGATCACGATAGAGAGTATTTCTTGACACCGAGTACACGTGTCGCTATCTTGGAGTGTCCGAAAAATGTCCCATCAACTGCCCCCAACCTTCGATCTTCTGACTCCGAGGACAAGCGTCGTAAGGAGAGGAAGGGTTCTGCAACTACCCCAACCACTTCATCATTGCCTCTAGCCGCTTTCCTCTGCTTAGGAGGTCGTGCGCACTAAATGCGCCTCTTCGTGCTTCGTGCCCAATGATGGGGATGGGTACTATATAAATGGGTTCTCTCTCTCCTTCTCACACTTCGCCATTTCGAACTCTTTAGAGAGCCCTTGCCTGAAATCTCGCCAGAGACCCACTTCCTTACATTGTCTACAAACCAATCTTCACCGGAGTCTTAAGGCCAGCAGACCCATCCTTGCTTCTGAACCTCCTGGAGGAAGGAACCACTCCAAGTTTTGAAGAAAACCTTTGTTCAAGTTCTGGTGAGTCATTGTACTTTCCTTCTCTCCGCTCTTCTGTCTTTTCTTCTCTTATTTCTCTCTTTTGTTTTTTGTTTTTTGATTCTCCGATAATCGGAGGTGTTTCTGGTTTGTCGTTCTATGACCCACCTTCAGGAAACCCCTAGGGGATCTTCGTAAAAAAAATTGTCCTTCCTCTTTAGTTTTTATCTTCTTTGGAGATGCCCCGACGTCGGCCTATCACCGAGGATTCCCAGGTCAGTTCCTCGAGGCCCGGGAAGTACAAAGTGAAGGGAGAGGAGCAGATTAATAAGTTTAGGGATCGATACCACATTTCCCCAAACGTAGGTATAGATGAGTACGACCCAGTTTTGCACAACTGCATTGTCGGGGCCAAGGATGAGATGCTATTTTTCACCAAGGCAATCATAGAGGGTGGAGTTAGGTTCCCCCTGCCTCTTCTACTCCTCCAGTTCCTCGCCCATTTCAGACTCTTCCCGGGGCAGTGTTGCCTTAACGTATTTAGGATAATAATGAGGGTCTTAAAGCTTAACAACAGTCTCGGGATAAACGTTGGGCTCAACGATATCCTTTTTTGCTACTCCCTGTTGAGGGTTATGCCTCAGCATAATTTTCACCTCAAAGCCAGAGATCCCTCCATGTACCTTGTAACTCACCTCCCTAACTTGGACAAAGGATACAAGGATGACCTTCTGATTCTTCGTAGATCTTGGCAGCGGGGGACCGATCCCGAGTCCAGTGGCCTGATGTGCCCCTTTGAATGGAGAACGACAAGTACGTCGGCCTCCCCGAGTCTACTATTTTTGTCCTTGGGATTCTTTTTTTTAGAAGTGTTAATAACATTCTCTCTTGTGCAGACGTCCTCGCCTGGGAAGTTGCCCCTCCCCCTTGGTCCTTGGTGAACTTTGCTGACCTTGTCACTGTTTGGAGATTTGTTGGCGACGACGGGTTTGGTTGGGCTTCTCACATCCTCCTCAACTACACTCCTGGGTATAAAAAGTTCTCACAGCTCCCCCAGCCTTTCGAGCCATTGCAGTGGTTTGAACTCTTCGATCAAGCTGCGCAACAAGAGGCTGAGGAGAACTTGGAGGAAGACCTCGACAGGGCTTCCAAGGCGGAAGTAGAGGGTGTCCATGACGTTGAGGAGTTCGGGGCCAGAGAGGCTTTGGTTCCTTCGCACGCCGAGGTGGGGACTTCAGGGAGAGATTCGTGGCCCGATTTCTACATCCTTCAGTCGCTAGGCGTAGAGGATGCCCCCGAGGTAGCCATGTCACACACGCCTCGCATCGACCTAGGATTCTTGAGGCAAAGGCAGACCCTTGTCGTCGGGAGAGGACGGGGGTCAGCCAGTAGCGCCCCATCAACAGGTACTAGCGCCAACCCCCCGCCTCCGAGGCCCACTGATCGGGGTCAAGTGCAGGACCGAGATCCTCAAGTCGAGGAGGAGAGGAGGATCAAACAAAGGCACGACGGCCCGGGTAGGGGATCCAGGGCCTCCTCCGCTCAACAGCCAAGTGGGAAAGGTTGTGGGTTACCCCCTCCATCCCAACAGCAACAGCCACAGCAGAGGCAACAACAACAGTAGCAGCGGCAACAACAGCAACAGCAGCAGAGGCAGACTCCAACTCCCCCTCCGCAGACGGTAGAACCCGCAGAGTGGAATCCTCGGGCCACTGACCATATGAACCGGGTGATCAGGGTTGATGATTCCATTTAACAGGACCCCCATGTCGCCAACGCAGTGAGCGAGACACTCCATTTCAAGGCCAACAGGCTCATAGGGGATGGACAACGAACACGTTGTTCCGCTCCATCATTCAGAATTTTCTGGTGGTAAGTTCATCTTTGTTTCAGTCTTTTCTTGTCGCGTCACTTTTAATTGACAAGTCCTTTCCCTCACAGGCCACCCAACAAATTTTCATAATCGCTGCGCGATATCATGCAACTAGGATGGACCTCCCGCGGACCCAAGAACAGAAGGAAGAGGCCGACGGAGCCCCAGCCAGTGCTAAGGAAGATGTAGCTGCTTGGGACTCCACTCTCGCGGGACAGACTGCTCAGATTGAACAACTCCTCAAGGATGGAGAATCGGCGAAGGTCAACGCTGAAAAGCTAAGTGCTGCATTGGTCGACGCTGAGGGGAGGATCATGCAGTAGACGCAGCGGCTCTCTACAGCAGAGGAGAGGGCAGTAGGGTCAGAGGAGAACATTCTGGCTCTGACACAGGAGCTGAATAGGATCAGGGCCGAGGTGGAGAATAGAAAGTTCGAGGAGCAAATCCGAGAAGAGTTTGCCGACGACGTGCTGCCTGCCCTCGAGGAGAACATCAAGGAGTTCTTCAAGAAGGGATGAGACGAGGCGATCTGGGTTGCCGGTGTCCTTCCAGACTTCCCATTCTTCATGATGCACAGTTACGTGTCATTGGTAGACTTGGCACAGGCCGAGGCCGAGATTGCTGCTGATGGTGCGACTTCAACGCCGATGCAAGTTTTGGCAGACCCGCCTGAGACGGTGATTCGGGTTCCATCCAACGAGGTCCTGCCGGACTTAGCCCCCGACCACAATATTCCTCAGACTCTTCTTGCTGTTGATTCAGTCCCAGCTCTGCCTGTTCTCGAAGCTGCTCAACCTTTTTGCGTTGATTCACCTTGTAGCGATGTGTTGGAGATGCCCGGGGCCAGATGAAAACTTTTTCTTTCTTTGGACTGTAATTATTTTCTCTTGTAGCTCTTAGGAACGCAAATTCCCTCTTTTGAAATGAACCTTTTTATAAGTATTTGCATTTCATTACGTGCATTTTCTCTTCTTT